CTCTACTGCAGTCACTGGTTTGTGTTGATTTGTTTCTGAGAATGCTCTTTGTGTTTTAATACTTTATTCAGATATTGTTTTTCATATTAATGCACTCTCGCTCTACCAGCTGGGTTGAAAATTTCGTTAGTGGCGAGTGTAAGATTGGCCGAACCCCGAATAGCGCAGTGTGGCAGTGGGACGTTCCGCAAATTACTAAAATACGGCACGGCCTGCCTTGACGGGGGCTTGGCCGAACATAATCTGAAATCCTATTGACCCGGAGTGAGACGAGAAATTTGTTATGGTGAAGGATTCAAGAAGGAGGGAGGGAAAAAAGCATTTTAGAGCTGAGAGCGTGTGGCATAAAACTGTATTTTAAGTAAATTTGGCATAAATCAGTATTTCGTGTTGTAAAATCATGTAGAAAGGAATATGTAGGAAAAAATCTGACCGTGTGAACTTTTTCGAACTATTGCTCCAATCGAAACAGTTTCTCAACTTGATCGTAGTTTTGACATTCGTTTCTTTGCTTTTTTCATTATTCTTTCGGAGTGAAGTTTACTGGGTTTATTGTATTCCAAACTCGCAGCATGTCTTTTCACTCGGCTTATCCATTAGCAGTGCGTTTAGGGTATCACACATCATTTTCATACTGCGTTTGGGGGACAAAAATTATTGTTATAAATAATAATAACGACAGTAGTAATAAAAATGATAACAATAATAATAACGGAAATAATGATTATAACAGTAACAATAAAAAAAATAATAATAATGAAAACAATAACAATAATGATAAAAATAATAATAACAATAATAATAACGATAACAATAATAATAATAATGATAACAATAATAATAATGATAATAATAATAAAAACGATGATAATAACAATAACGATGACGATAATAATAATAGCAATAATAATGATAATAATAACAGTAATAATAATGATAATAATAATAATAGCAGTAACAAATAATATTGATGATAATATGCTGATTCTTATAAATAACACCAGATTCATAAGGTTTGGATGTAAATTCAGTTAAGTGAGCAATACACTCTGAAATAAATTGTTTTTCCCGATGTACGGAAATTTCTTTACATCATTTTCAGATACCGGAACAAGGGAAGATGCTTGTTACAGAGAGTACAGCTGTACAGGTCGAAAAAATCACACAGCAAACATCTAAAAAGTATTTTTTTCATTTTGAAACTGTTATCATTCCTTCAAATCGCTCTTTTTACTAGTCATTGTACAGCTTCCAGGGAAATTTGAAAACAAGCAGATTTATGTCAAAAAAAACCCGATTTTTAGCTTCCTTTTTGATGAATTCATTTTTAGACTCGAAACTGCTACGATTGGAATGCAAGAATTTGTGAAGGTGACTGGCTCTATGCAAAAAGAAACAGTCAAAGTTAGCACAACGGAAGAATGCTTGACAAAATCTGGAGAACGAAAATCTACAGGAAAAGGCAAAGAATCGAGTAAAAGTTTAAAGATGCTCCCAGAGAGCTCATCGACTTCTACGGCTATGGAAAGTGTCAGCACAAAAGGTAATTTTTTCATTTCTTCCCTCTCCTCCTCGTCCCCTTGTCCCCTGGCTCCAACGGAAAACAGAGGCACTGGGAAATGGCCCGAATGTAACAAAATCGCTCTTATAAAGGCTTAATTTTCGGTGTTTTTTTAGAAGTTGATAAATTTGATCTCCTCCTACCATGCACCTATATCAGTGCACGATCGAAATGAATAAACGTAACGGAGACGACGAAGGGCGGAGGGGAAAGGGGGTTGGTTTTTTTACTGGCGAGATTGAAATAGAAAGGAAAGAAAGGACCGTGGAGGCCCAGCCAAAAAGTAGCCATTTCAAGGTGGAACTCTTGTCCTTCAGTATCTGAATAGCACTATTTATCATCGCCTTAAGACCGTTGTTGGTTTTAGCATGTGCTTATAGCGTAGTGGCAAGCAGCGCTGCTTTCATGCGGGAGTTTGATAGTTTGATTCTTTTAATAGAATAACTAAGCCTTTTCACGATTCATTCATTCATTTCGATGGTAAATTGGCACTGGTGCATGCCCGGTGGGAGGAGAGGGGGGG